GGCCGCAAACGCGAATCAAACGATCCTCGCGCTGCTGCTGCTGCTGCTGTCCGCGCGAGACTCGACAACGCGTATAATAATGTGTGTATAGGCTCCTCCACAACTCGTCCACCTGTACGTCAGCTAATACATGAATTTATAAGCGATTAGTCTGCGCGCGGCTACTATTTTTTGAGACGCAAGCGCGACATGATATTATTATTACGTTGTACGGCTGCAGGTATTGTGTGTAGATAAAAAGAATGCATACTGTAATATTGGCGAGGCGTAAAAATCGTATTATCTTGTAAGTGTGTATGGCTGATTCTCTGTGAAATCGACGTTTGCCATTGGGCTTAGCGGCCCAGTCGAAAAAAGTTAACGTCCTGAGAAGGCTCTGTGATGTGCTCGAAAGCGAGTTTTTACGTATTTTTACGCAATAAGGGTGCAGTTTTAATAATTCGCAGTACTGCAGTACATCACTGGCTAGTCGACGGTAGAGGGGGCAAGTGTCGCTAAGAAGCTATCATGATCGCGAGGTTATCTCGCCAATGTGCGAGTAGTGTGTTCAGTCGTTAACACAGAGCTAAATTCCTGTAGTAAACGAATATTTGCAAATTGGTGAAATCGAGGTACGTTGTTGGCTACACGTGGCGGTTAACCTCAAATATTTCCTCTGAATACATTCAATCAACGAAATGAAGGAAAATAACAGTGCCATTGTTAGGTATGACTTTATTTTGTGTTATTCTGCTATGATAGTTTTTTAAGCGATGTTTTATAAAATTTGTAATCATCAGGGTGAAGAAAGAACCAAACGATACATGGTTAGATACAGGTGACAATAATATTTTCGATTCGATGGACTTCTCCGAAGATAAAAAGTTTAAAACATTTTCGTGGTATGATTTGTCGGTGAGTTCTATGATTTGACTAATTGCTTGGTTGGTCTTCTATCAAAGATTATTTTATCATTTTCATTTTAGGCAAATCATATAAATGAGGCCATGGAGTTACGAGAAAAATCAGATGAAAAAATATTCATAGATGTTGAGTGCAAATATGTGAAATGTGAACTGCCGTCTCTATCAACGAACAGCTACAAAACTGAGGATCACAGTTACCCATCTATTATGAAAATAGAAAATCAAATGCGGACCCATTATTTCAACGATAAAGATTTGATAATTTTGATAAAAAAAGGATTCGATTATGAAAATAATTGCCAATTTTCACTAAATTCAAAATTGGAACGTGAAAAATCAAAGAAATTGAAAATATTTGATATGAGAACTCGAGCTAAATTATCTTGTAAGGGTGATTTGTGTCGAAAAACTCATAAACGAGAAGCAAGTCCAAAAACACATAGTAATACGAAACTTAAGAGTATTAGAGTAAACGAATGTGAAATTTGCCATAAATCATTTGACTACCAAAGCCATCTCAAACGTCACGTCAATGCAGTACATGATCGGAGTAGACCATTTGAATGTGATATTTGTCACAAATCATTTGGATACCAAAGTCAATTCAAAACTCACATAAATTCAGTACATAATCGTATCAAACCCTTTGAATGTGAGATTTGTCAAAAATCATTTGGACAGAAAAGTGACCTCAAACGTCACGTCAATGTAGTACATGATCGCAACAAAACCTTCGAGTGTAATATATGTCACAAATCATTTGGACAAAAACATGATCTCAAAATTCACATAAATGTAGTACATGATCGTAGTACCACATTTGAGTGTGATATTTGTCACAAATCATTTGGAATAAAAAGTAATCTCAAAAATCACATAAATACAGTACATTATAGGAGAAAATCTTTCGAATGTGAGATATGTCATAAATCATTTGACTACCCAAGCCATCTCAAACGTCACGTCAATGCAGTACATGATCGTAGCAAACCCTTTGAATGTGAGATATGTCATAAATCATTTGACTACCCAAGCCATCTCAAACGTCACGTCAATGCAGTACATGATCGGAGAAAACCTTTCGAATGTGACATTTGTCATAAATCATTTGGATATCAGAATGTACTCAAAAATCATATAAATTTAGTACACGATCGAAGCAAACACTTTGAATGTGAAATTTTGCTGTAAATCATATGGTCGGAAGGAACATTTCAAGATGCACATAAATGCAAGTACATAATCGCTGCGAACTTTTCGAGAGTGATATTTGTCACAAGTCATTTGGAGAAAAGTATAGCCTTCTAACACACTTAAATACAGTGCATGATCAAATAAACTTTTTAAATATAACATTTGCCTCAAATTACTTTGACAAAAAGGTATCTTTAAAGTTCACAAGAATGCAGTACATGATCATAACAAACCATTTCAATGTAAGGTTTGTTAATAATCATTTGGATATCAGTATAATTTCAAAAGACACATTATGACGGTACATGATCGAAGCGTACCATAGGAGATTTTCTTCGATATTTGGATACAATAAAGACTTCTGCAATCTCATGAGTACACTGCGTAATTATAGAAAATGTTCCACATAAATAAATCCTACAATTACGTGAAGAACAATAAATTATTTCAAACTGTTATCAGTATTTAATTTTTTTCCTGATTATTGAAAACCTATTTCCCTTTATTGCATTAACGAAATATAAACAAGTCTTCCAAAGTATCTGCTTTTTCTTAAATTTACTCTGGGCTCGAGCCAGGAATTTTTCAAATATTAGCATTGCCGATAGATTTCGAAAAAATCTCAACTTTCAGCCTGCGAAAAGAGCGATGGACGGTCTCCAAAAATGTTAATAAAACTTCGAAGAACGTTTTGTAATGACATTAAAAAAACAACGAGATTATGCATGTCAGACGTAAAAATTTCGATTTCACAAAGAATCGTCCATATGCATATAGGTGTAGCCTGCCTATAGCTGGCACACGCGTATTATAAAAGCACACGCGGAAAAGTAAAAAAATAAGCCGCGGAAATGAGGGAAAGAGAGAAAGAGAGAGAGAGAGAGAAGATAGCGAAGGAAATAAAAGCACGTGGTTGGGGGGCTATAGGTGCAGCTATATAGCGCGCGCCAGGCATACGTTCGTCGCCAGCAGCAGTGACGCTGCCTGCACGGAGCCATAGGACGGTATAATTGTAATGGAAACCACGGGGGACCATACGCCTGGAATAATAAGAGGAATAACACACACGTACACGCATGCTACACCGCTATACATTTATATACGGGTGCGCAGGGGGCGAGGGAGGGAGGCAAATGTACGCGATCCTATACGCGTACGAGAACGAGAGAAACGGCAGCAGAGAGGTATAGCGAGTGTGTTTCGTGCTGGTGTGTTGGGGAGTCCTCCCGTACGTCGTAGTCGTCGTCGTTGTCGTCATGCTAAGTCACGTTAATGCGATGCAAAAACCAGGTTAAGCTGTGTACGAGTGCGCCAGCGTGTATCGCGACCTCGTGCAGCAGCAGCAGCACCGCCACTATAAGTCGTATATCCCCGCACACATATACACATTGTCGCGTATCCAGAATATGGAATTAAATTTCGCCAGAAATTCACTTTTTCGCGTCGACGACACGACTCTCTCTCTCTGCCTGCCTTCTTTCTTCTTTTTTTTTGCTGGCTCCTATCGAACTCCGAATGACGCGCGCTCGACCGCAATTGTTATTCCTTTCGCACGCGTGTGTCTCGTTCTCTCCTCCACTCGTATACATGACAAATTTCTCTCTCGATTCATGAGCTTTCGATGAGCTATACTTTTCCTCCTGGTGCGTAAGTATTACTCGGGCTTTATAATCAGCTCGTTACATGCCATTGGGAAAATTCAATTATTCGTTATTAATGAAAACAAATTAGCGTATAGGCGTATATGGTAGCGCTGGCTGTGCTGTGCGGTATACCATGCGGCTGCTCTCTGGCTCTCTTTTTCTCCAAGCACATATATATTGCCGAGCACGCGCTGCAAGTTTCTTGCAATTAAGCGTGTAACTCGATGATCGTTAATAACGAAGAGAGAGAGAGAGCGAGAGAATCCACTTGCCACCGCCACCAACGCTGCCGCCGCCGCTGTGTTTTCTCTAATAAGAGGTTTTTTCCATTTAGTATTTTCGTCACTATACGATATAGAGCTGCTGCTGCTGCTGCGAGCTTGCAGCGGAAAAACGAAAGACCGAAAGAAAAAGAGGCGCGAGCGCCGGTGTAATACCGCGCGTGAATTTCCCTCTGGCCTCGATATTGCTGCCGCGGCCGGCTCCTCCTCTCCTTTCTTTCCGAGCGCGCGTAATAATTAAGAGAGTTTCAAATGAGTTGTTGTGTGCGCTAATCGAAATATTTGCGAGTAAGGTATATAGCGTACAGTGCGGTATACTCGCTCGCATCATTGGTTTTTACGTCGAACGAAAATTCAAATTTCCTTTTTTTTATGGTTTTTACTTTTTTTTTTTTGGAATATTTACAACTGCAAATTTCATGGGTTGTTGTACTCCGGCGGCTTAACGCCGCGTGACTTTTTTCCTACCTTAGTACAATATTTTTTATACGTTTGTATATGTATAATGTACGCGTATGGGTGCTTGCGATTCTACCTGGTGCGTAATAAAATCGCATAAAAAGCTCCAAAGCAAATTATTCTGATGCTTGTCCGCACGTGAATTGCTGGCTGCTTTGCAGATGGCATATTTTACCCTCAAATATGCGTGTGTACGCAAGATGTGAAAAAAAGTATATGCCTCGTTAATTTAATACTGTTGGAATAAAATGATTCGAAAGTTGATATTTCGGTTGAATAATGCACTTTTAATATTTTTGAAGCGTGAAACGCACACCAGGGCTACGATAACGCCTCCTCTCCTACCAACGACATAAAAAAAACAACATTTCCGTATTTTTATTTACTGTTGTTATGAGGAATTAAATTTCAACAAATTGGCTTGTAATGTGAACGAGGCCACTATATGTGTACAGTGATATTTATAATTAAAAAAAAAAAGAGTTAACCTTTTTCGTTCTTTTTTCTCTGCCCCTCAGGAATGGAGGCCATCATGTCGGAGTTTTTCAACGACACGACGACTGCGTTTTATATAATGCTCATAGTGTTTGTAGCCGATCAATACGACGCAGTTTGCTGTCACACTCAAATTACCAAAAGACACTGGTTGAGGTAAGCTCGCTAATTTTTTTTTTCACTTTTAATTTTTGTTTTGCCTTTGAACTGCCGACTACAAGGTTCAAAGTTTTTTTTATTTTTTAACGTCAAATACACATTCTAACTACGAATATAAAATGAAATCATATCATACTCGGAATGCCTAATCAAACCCGGACCGGACCAGTGCAAAAACTCTCTGCAAATTGTTCACGATAAAGAGCGAACTACTTTATTTTTACTAAAAATGCATGCATAAATCACAAGTTAAATATTTAAAAAATGTTTTTATCAACCCAACAATTTTGAGCCACTTTTTCCCCCAGCGCGAGAGAGAGCTCCATTTATTTATACACGCGTATTTATAATGATGAAAAAATGACGACTCCGTCTTTGAATCAAAAGGAGGCAAGCAGCAGCGTTGCGCGTCTGTTGAAAAAAAAACGCCGGTAAGTCCAAGGGCAGGTTAAAGGAGATCAGAGGAGAAGAGATGAAGAATGTCGATGCTAGCGCTTCTGGCTTGTCGGAGCATTTAATTAAGAGGGATAAAAGCGGTATTAAACGTTAAATCTTAAAGACTCGAAGCGCAAGTGAGCTTGGCTGCTGCAAGCACACCCCCTCGCTCTTTTTATGTATTTCAGCTCCTCTCTCTTGCTCGATAGGCTAAAGTTAAAACGGTCAGCGACCGCGTCTGCTCTCTCCATCTATCTCTTTCTCTCTTTCTCTTTGCTTGTAAAATTTACTTTACACTTTTTTGCGGTTCGTCAGTAGGATACTCGATTTATATCACGGAAAATATTTCCAGTCGAAAATTCACTCCTCTCTCTCTCTCTCTCTCTCCCTGCTTCTCGTAAATGCTCTTTGTAGAATATAAATTTTGCGCAATTCGCAACAAAAGCCAAGTAATATTCCGAGAATGTTTGCATGCACTTGATGTATTACGCATCTTGCATAAAAGTAAAGTATCTTGGAATTCTCAATCATACATGGATTTCAATTCAAAGCATATTTATAACGTATCTATGCAGAATATCAAGATTCTATATAAATGCCTGTGCAAGCTGCTGCGAGCTTCGGTATTGCAAATCTATTGAAAGCTCGATAGTTACGAGCGTGCAAATTGTACAAAAAAAAAGTTGGGACGTTTATCGCGATACATATTATTTTTCTCTTTCATTTCATCTTTGCACTTTGTGACACGCGATCTCGATGTGCGCGCGCGCGCGCACGACCTTTTTATTTCGCAGAAATCATTATTGGCATTCGAACTTTTCTCTCTCGTTTTTGCGAAACGCGAAAAATATATTATATTTCGTTATCATTTTTTCTTTATTACCCGTATATACGTAACCCATGGACAATCGAAAGCCAGTTTTCCTTTGACGAGTATATAGCTTTCGCGCTGTGTGCCAGATGAAATTAGAATCGCCACCACAGCGCAGTCTAGCGCAAAGTATATATACGGTATAGATGGCAAAACGCAGAAGCGTTCGGAATTTGTTAATCGTTTCGGAAAGCAAACTTTTTTGCTTTATATATCAGAACCACAGCTCGCGTACACCTACATGTATACACAGACACACAGACACACACACACACAAACAACGTATTTGAGCTTACAATTTTGTGTTTTAAGTTTGGCAAATTTTCAATCAGGTAACTCTGAGAAAAGTTTTAATGAATGCATATCGGCGAGCACGCGCGCGCGCGCAAGCACACACAAAGCTTTATACCGGGAGCCACTGTCGATCAGCCAAGTCGAAAACGCTCGCAGGCACGACTACTATACACGATGGGGCGGGCTGCTGCTGCTGTACGCGGATATCCCATTTTAAAATGTTTTCCGCGAGGTATCGAGCTCGCGCGCGCGAAATTCCGCATCTTTGGCAGGTATAATAATATCGTGTAGCATTTTTCGGGAAAGACCGACTGCAGGGAATTTATCCGCGCAGCAAAGATGCTGCTCGGTCGTCGTCGTCGGTGGAAGCATATTTCACGGCGAGTCGAGCTTTGACAAAAGCTCCGAAATCGAGATAATTATACGTCCAGCGACTTGTAAGGTCTCTCTCTCTCTCTCGTCTATATACACAATTATTTCGCGTTAATGAATATTCAAAAGCAATTTGATCCTCCGAGCTAAAAAATGCAGCAGCAGCAGCAGCAGCCGGACGTGGCTGACGCGCGCTACATAAATGAGAGAAAGTACGCACCAAAATAGTTCAAAGGCGAAATAGTCCTTGGGAATGACGGCTGCGGGGGGGATGGGGGATCGCAATCGAAGCTCTCTATCTATCTATCTATACTATATATTACGCGAGAGCAAATCGAATAGTCGTCGTCGTCGCGTAAGCATCGTAAATCGAGCGCATAGACGACGACGACGACGACGCGAAGCGACTTAGAGCTTCGGCTTCGGGCTTTCCCAATTAAAAGCAGATGACCCGCACTGATGACGACGCGGCGCGTCTATATATATACGCCTCGCGTCGACGAATGCGACTACGACGACGACGACACCACCACCAGCAGTGGCTGCTGCTGTTGGCAAACCCAGTACAGCTTAACGCTCGCTGTAATTCTCTTTCGAGCTTTCCTGCGGCTATATAATGCCTTTTCGGTTCTCGAGTGCAGCAGCAGCAGAGTATATACTACGCCCAGACGACTCTCATCTTGTGGGCGTGATGAAGCGAGAGAGTGAGAGAGCGAGGAGCGAAGAAGAGGAAGCTATACACAAGCTTCGTGCTAATACGTTCGCTTTAAAGCGCGCGCGACTGAATTGATATCGACGCTGTATCAGTGTCTCGAGCTGCTGTTGCGGCTGCTGCTGCTGCGCACAGAGACAAGAGAATACCCCTTTTCCACCGTCTTTTTCGTTCAAAAGGTGCTAATGCAAGTTTTGTTCTTTTTTAGGGAAAGAGTTATTTTCCAAATATTTATCTCCTTCGGTGACTCGCGGCATAAACTCGATCGAGCTTATAATTACCGAAACGTCGATGCAGCGAAGCATATTTTACGTCTCTCTCTCTCTCTCTCTACTCGAATCGTCATTGGCTAGGAGATTAAACGATCACGATTCGTACGAGTCTCTCCGAGGCCATTATATTTCGTCGAGCGAACTCGCGACGCAAATGTGGCGTGTATAAGTGAATAAAATGATAATATCTTGACGAGGCGATTCATGAGCTTGTAAAGCGGCGTTATACGACCGTATACTGCCGCGCTCTCTTTCTCTGCAGCATATAGTAGTAGTAGTGGTAGTGGTGGAGTCCGGCTGCTGCTGCGAGCTTTTGAAACGTCGCGCATCAAAACTTATCCTTGCGCTTCTATTGCGGCACGCGCGCGCGAGCACTGCATGGTGTGCGGGCGAGCTTTGGGATTGTTTATAGAGAGGCGAGTCGTCGTCGATGGAAAAGCCGATACTCGTCGGGGAGAAAATCGATATCCGAACGATGGCTCGGATCAGTTGCAATTGCACTGCTGGCTAGCTGTGCTGCTGCTGCTGCACATAGAGTCGTATATATATACGTATGTACGGACACGAGCAAGTGCGCATAAATACGTTTGCTTGTGTGTGTGTGCGTGCATATGGATTTGTGATTTTTATAGGCGCGGACGAAAGATTAAACGTGCTCGGCGGCTTGTACACTATCAATTTGCCTGATTGGCCTCAATGGTGGTGGTGGTGGTGGTGTGGCGATGGTGCGGGGCGCAATAGCAAAGAGAACTCGCGCGCGCGAGAGAGGCAGAGGACACAGAAGCAGAGAGAGAGAGAGCGAGAATATATACACTCTAGCTCTCTGTGCACACTGGCTCTCTCTCGCGCGCGCACAGGGGACATACTTATGGCTGATACCTAGTCGTCATTGCATTTTAACCCCCTTTTTCGCTCGATAATCCGCGTTTCGATGTTTCGGGAGAGCAACCCTAGGCAGTTTATTTATATATTCGGCATATATATGCTTGCTTGCGCGCGTGAGCTCGCCCCGGCCATCCGAGTATATATCCTATACACTTGTGTGCGCGTGTATGTATGTGCAGTGCGTAAATCGCCTATACTACGGCCGGCCCCGCGTACGTATATAAAAATTTATCGATCGTCCGTGAGAATTTGGCCTTTATTTCGATCAAAAGGATTTGTGTGTAGCGCTTTTAATGGCCATAATTCGTCGCAGCGTGTGGATGAGCACGTATTTTACCTCGCTCGCTCGTTCTCTCCCTCACTCTCTTTTTCTCTCTCGTTCTCTCGCTCTCCATCGAGCTTTTCAAGATTTCTCTCGTCCATATATATGCGAGGGTTACGTACGCGCGTGTTGCGCGCGAGAACCGATGCGCAATATTCTTCGTGCTTCAGGTTCTCGAATTAGCTAAGTCGTCTCATTGATAATTGAAAGTATTACATGGGAGAAATTTGAGACATTCTTGAAAACTGTGTTTTACTTATATTCTGATTCTGACTTTTCCACTTGCAGATTTATAGATAAAGGCATTAGCCATCTAGTGGCGAAGGTTGGAATCAATAACGAGCAGTAATCTTATTAATCGGAAGAAATATACTTTCCCAAAACCATGCTTCTTATATGACTTATGCTCTTACTTTTACTTTGACACTTGCAGATTTATAGATAATGGTACTTGCCACCTGGCGGTGAACATTGACTTGAATTATCATTGAACTTTCAAGAATGTTTTGAGAAAATGCTTGAATTTGAGTATAAATATTTCAATGTCCATGATTGCATGGTCATTAATTTTTTTACAGTTTATGTAAAAAAAATCAGTAATGATAAATACATGTTACACAGAGATTTCACGTAAAAGTACATGTAATTAAATTCAATACCTGTTACTTCAATATTAATGCCTGAATTTACATTGAACCTGCATTAAATTCAAAGTTTTTATAAAGTTTATGTATGGTGCTCAGGTACACATAGACGTTACAACAGTTGCTACCATTTAATTGACAATGAGCTATAATACGCATCGACGGCTAGACTGAAAGTCTGTACTTTAGA